AAAATTTTATTTTTAAAGTAAGTACTCTTTAAATTTTACCAAACACTTTTAAGTCTTTTGTCTAGATCAAAGGAAAAATAAAGGGCTTAGCTTTTACTTTAATCTTATGTTTGGGTTGAGAGGAATGGAGATGAACGGAGTGGAAGTGGAGGTGAATGGAGGGGAAGGAAGGGGGGGAAGGAGGGAAAGGAGAATTATTTCCTTCTATTCCCCTTTATTCCCCTCCCTTCATTTTCCCCCAACTAGATAAGTAACCAAATTAAAAGATAAAATGAAGAAAAGTAAAATTCCTCCCCCCTCCCTTTCATTTTTTTATAACCAAATAAAATAATTTTTTCTGTTTCTCTCGTCTCCCTCCATTCCCCTCAAATTAAACATACAATAAGTGATTGGATTCAATTCCTTATCTATGTTGTAGGAGAAATTTTAGTTTAAATTTGGAGAAGATTTGTCGGAACATAAAGTATAATGTAAAGAGCTAAGGTACCCTTTGGAACTAAACAATAGAAAATACTTATTTGTTGGAACAAAAAAAAAAAGAAAAGAAAAAAGAAAACACCAAAAACAAGCCTGCAGATGATAGAACCCTCCTACTAAACAGAACCCTCCTACTAAACAGAACCATTTAGCAAAATACTTTTATACTAGGTTTGAGAACATGAATTTGATAAGTGTATTTGAATTTGAACACCTTAAATTTAAAACCAATGTTTTTTTTTTATTTAAATAAAATGTAATTAAATTTAAATAAAATACATATATTGGCTAAGTATTTAAAAGACTTAAAATGCATGTATTTCAAATTCACCCTTAACCTCATGGATTTCAATTTCAAACCCTGCATTTTATATATCCGGCAGCTTCTTCCAATTAGTGGTTTTCTCCACACCATCTTTTTGCTCTGCTCCATCTCTGGCAGCTTCTTGAACCGGGGGACAAGACACGCTGGACTCTAGCGGGGGAAGGCCAGATCTCCGGTTGAGAGTCATATGGGCTATAGACAATCGCACCGGCATCAATCCCGCATAGGGTGGTGAGTTCACTTGCCTTCTTCATGAGACCCTTCTTTCTAATCTTGAAGGAGGCTTTCCTTGCAGAATCATTGGATATGTATTGGAGCTTCACCTTCTTTCTAGTCATGGGTAGTTGCCCAATCTTTTGTATTCAAAACCCAGTGGTTTTGCGCTTAAACCCAGTATTTTTGGTTGATTACAGATTAGTGTAGCTCAAAAATTTGTTGGCTGTGGACTTCTTTTTGTGGCTTGCGTTTCCTTTGAAGAAATTGAAGGTACGTGTTGCTCCTGCATTTGATTGCCTCAGTTCTGTTTGGATTCTGGGAAAATGGTGGAGAATAAGGGATAGCGGAAGCGAGTCTGTTTCTTTTGTTCTCTGTTCTTCGCAGATAAAAGCTTTGTCTGATTTATGTGCTCTTGATTCATTTTGATTAGCTTTGTCTGGTGTCGTTCAACACCATGTTGCCAATAAATCTGACTTGATTAGTTCTTGTTCCTCTGGCTTACTACATCAGGATTCAGGAACATCTTAGGGAAATTGTTGCGCTTCTGTAAATTTTTTGCTAGTGAAGACGTCAGATGTTCTGAACTAGGGATTTAGGTCACTGCCCGCTACATAGATGTGGCTTTAGTTAACAAATTTTTTTATTCTAATCCTGAAAAAAAGTTTAATATTGGGGAAGAAGCTGAGGTTTTGTGTGTGTTGGGGGAGGTAGCAAAAGGTTTACAACTTACAAAGTAGGAGCATTCTGTGCTATGTTTTCATAACTATTATTAGTATACAATTATATAATGTCTATTGCACATGTTGGATTGTGGTGCTTTGCTAATATGTGGCCTTCTCTTCTGTTGTCCTTGTAAACAGATTGAGCTCCCACCCTAGACTGATATTGTGAAAACTGCTCGATTCAAGGAGCTCCAATACATATCTCATGTAAATCTAATATTTGATTTAGAATCTCTAGTATCATATTTCCAACTTTAAAATTTTTCCTTAAATGTGACATGTTGTAGGTTGCCTTTTTTGTTATGTTATGTACAAAGGTAAAATTTCAACTTAATTTCTTGCATACTTTTGCAGAACAAGGCTGGTTGCTGTTGCAATGCAGAAGTTTGTTGCGGAGGTGGCAAGTGGTGCACGTTAGTATGATACTAAAACTCTTTCTCTACACTTTTTCCTTTGCTTCCTCTGTTCCATTTTTCGGGCTTACTGCATATGGTATATTTTGCTTGGCCTGATAAGGCTGACAGTGTTTGCAAAATTGACAGTATCTCAAGATATTTGATGCTAGAAGTAATAAATAAACTAATTTCTTATGCTTAAGCTCCAAGTCTCTAATATGAATTATGGAATGAATGTGAGATGCATAGTTGCTGTAGAGTTCTTCTCCAAGTATGCTGTAAGTTCTTCTCCTTGTCATCCTTGGTTAGTGGGTTAGTAATTTCACCTTTAGGCATTTTTCTTACAATTTCTTCCCATTCATTGTTTTTCTAGCTTTGTGTCTTTGACCTTTTGGGTTTCGTACTAAATATAAGTTGATTTTTCTTGCAGGATATGGAACTTGTGAGTTCCCAACAGAATATGGAAACTAATTAAGAGTGAGATTTGGTGAAGTTTCTTTGGGTAGTTTTAGAAATTTTGTGTTAACTTCTCAAACGGTATATAGTATGATGATTGAGGAGTAGGTGTGGTTGTTATTTTTATTTGAACATCCTAGTTTTGTTTATTCTCTAGCTAGTTTATTCTCTAGCTAGTGGATTGTGTGCGTATCCATAATAAATCCATCTTTACAAAAATTTAATATTGTATGACAATGGAAAAAGTGAATAGAAAATAGAGAATATGGAAACAAATTGATCAATGAAGGTCATTGTTCTTTTTTGTTTGTCTTGGGTAATTTAAATAATGCCTTAAAAGATTAAAATTGTTAACTTTGGGTTTATTAAATTTAAATAATGATAAAAAAAATTTAATTT